ATCACTACGTGTCTAGTCACTCGATTATTTTTAGCTGATCAAAAGTTGTGGATTTTTTTTTTTCTTCCCCCGACATCAAAAGTATCTAAAACTGCATCAGTAATGTTCCCACATTCTTTATTCCTTTTTAGCAGGCTTCAAAGAGAGCGAAATCCTGGAAGCTGGCTTTGGTATTTCAGCACAGCGTTAGGGAATCCAGCTTGCTCTGTGCGACTGAGAACGCCCTCCTCGCTTTCGATGATCGCTCCTCCAGGCAGATTTTTCTGCTGTTTTTGACCTTCTCTTCATCCTTGCGTGTACTCGGTCTGAGAAGGCTACCTAATTGAGAAAGCCGTTTGCGTTCCTTTTAAGCTCTGCAACCACATTAAATTCACAAAGGGCTCCCAAAAAAATTATTATTTCTAGTGCAAACAGATTATACTGGATTAGTGGTTAGCGTTTTGCATACTTGCTCTGCTTGCCCTTTCCTTGCAGAAAATCTTGCATTGTGATTTAGCACGTTGTGGGCAGCTCTGACACTTGCTTTTGCTCTGGGTGGCCTAGAAGCTCCGCATGCCCAGTGCCTTAGTGGGGACAGCGAGGAGGGCACATAAAGTTTTAAGCCCCTGGACCTTCTAATAGCGGTGCTTTCTGCTGAGATACCCTTTATTGATGTGCGTGTGTCTTTGCTGTATTAAACTGTAAGGGGCCCTGGTGCTCGGTGTCCCCCGTTGGGCAGGTGGTGCTCAATGGGTCTCAGGCCCCGAGCAGAATGGTGCAAGATCGCTGGAGGTCTCCTGTTTTGAACCAAAGTGTCATTACCACAGTCTGCAAGTCTAGAAACACCTTGTTTCATTTAATTGTGTGCAAGGCAGGCAAAACCAGAATACTTTTTATTTTAAGATAGTCCTACTGATTGTTTGTGTGTGTGTCAAACGCAGCCACCTCAAATAGCTGAGCCCTGAGATAGATGATCAGGGTGCAAAGAAGTGAACAGTTCTGGTTTGGAGATGGGCAGAAACTGTTCTGCGGCCTTGGCATCCCTTTGCTGGAGGGCAAGAGGCATTGGGTGCTCCGGCAGGAGACCACCCAGGAGCTCTCCTGCTTTCCTTCCCCCTTAGAGTCTTCTCTCAGTCTGTGGGCGTGCGGCGCTCCTCTTGCCTGCTTCACTCTTTCAGTTTGTTAGGCTTCTTCACCCTGGGCATGGGTGCAAAACTGCAGCCTAGTCACAATAGTAAAACACTTGTCTTGCTTTCAGACTTGTGTAAAAAGCAACTAGGCTTCTCCATGACGGTGCTAAATAACAGTAACGGGGCCCTATGGCAACTTTCCTCTTTGCCCCCCAAAGACTTGCAAGAAACAAAACTATAAATATCTTTTTTTTGTTTTCAGAGATAGATAAAAGCCTAAGTGAAAAATCCAGAATTAAAGTTTGAAGTATGGTATCCTTGTATGCAAACTTTATCTAGTTATCTGAAGAGGAAGTAGGTGTGTAAAAAAAAAAAAAAAAAAAAAAAAAAAAAAACTAAGCAATTAGTCCTGCAAGTACGTGTGCATAAGCATAAATTAAATGCCATTTGCATACTTGTATACAACTGTTTTTATTTTTCAGTGAGTTTCCCTGGTCTCAATTCCTCTTAATGGCCCCACATAGTTAACATTTTTCTTGACTGAAAAACTACGTAGTGCCAGCAGGTTTGTTCTTTGCCCTTCTGTGAGTGAGAGGAGCTTCACTGAACAACCTGAACTCGACAAGTTAAAGTGTAAATTCCAGAACACAGGTATAATTTTCCTTTGGAGCTTCAAGAGGTTTTATTGCTTGCCAAAAGTGCTGGAGGGGGGTTGGTGACATGTCCTAGTAGTGTCTCTACCTTCTGATGTAGGCCTGATGTTTTTTTTATGAGGAAACTTGAATGAGAGAAAAGTCATATTGCAAGAAGAGAAGAGATGACTGCTTGTTGTACTGGGTTAAAGCGATTCCGTGTTGTCTTCTTGCTTTCCGTAGTTGCTTGGATAGGCAGAAGAAGCTTGAAAAAAGGCTGCTTGCAGTCACTTGAACCATCAAACTGGTTGGGGAGGTTGCGCATTTTTGCCTGTCTGTGTGGTCTTCTGTTCTTCCCACAGGCCTCCTAGATGATATGCTTGCTGCAATTCTGGAATAGCCTGTCGGGCTTTGCAGCTCCTGGCAGAATTTTTTTTTTTTTTTAAGGAGACTGTGTTTCTAAATATAGAGCTATTAGCAAATCCACGGTAGAAACCTGCTTTGAAAAAGGAAGGAGTTCATATGAGCTGGCTTTTTTAAAATCTCCTAGTGCTGCTGTTTGTCATGCAAGACTAGCGGCAGAATGGGAACGCGTAACCTTTCCCCAAAAACAAAGAAAGAAATCTCTAGGACAGTGAGGACATTTCTTTGAAACATGAGCTCATTAAAGGCCCAGGGTCAACTAGATAACGTGGTTGCTTCTGACTTGCCTATTTTCCTTGTCTGTGGAAGTGCTTTATTCGCACGAGTATCAAAATGCACATAAAAACACCATTTATTTGTGGGACTGATAAGATTGCTGTGCCTGGGTTCACATTGAGCTCTTTGAACGTAGTTAATTTTCAAGATAGATTGCGGTTTCAGTAAGCAATATGGCCATAGTTCTTGATAATTAGAACTTAAATTTGAGTTCCCAATTCTGAAATAACCGTTTGTTTGTCTTGTGCTTATTTCTTCCATTTTTATTATACCTGTTTTAAAAAAAGAGGAAAGCCTGATATTGTGTTTATATTCCTGTTGAATGTACCAACACAATAATCAGTATTTTAAGTCCCTTGAAGAGGTGTTAGTTCTTGGCTTTTGCTTGTTTGTTTGTAATTAATGTTTTACTCCTTAAGCCCACCCCCAGGAAAACAAAGTTGTTTATAGGTATAGTCATGTAATGCGACTGCATTAAGGGATTTAATTACATGATAAATTTCCCAGAGTAACTTAGTAGCTTTCGTGAACGTAACAACAAGCTTTGTCTGAGATGTGTTTACAGCTTTCCTGGTTAAAGAACTGTAACTTGGGACTGGTGGGAACGTAAAAATTGCTCTGTTAGAGTCCTTTGTGCTTGGTCACAATACTCGGTGCATCTATAGGATTAGAAGTTTTATCTGTGGATTTTGAGAGCTGCATTGGTAATGGAGAATTAGAAAATAAAACTAAGCAAAATATATTTTGCTTTTAGCAAATGTCATTCTTTTAAGCAGTATTGCAAATGGTTGGAAAGAGTAACTGTTAAATAGAAAGGTTTTAACTATGTAAATGTTTTCAGTGAAAACAAACAAAAAACCACCAACAACCAAAGAACTTAAGCTCCTGTTTCTTGAATGTCCTGGAGGCAAAACTCGTGTTTCTCTGTGTCATATTTGGATTTTGCTCGCTGTATTACAATGTAGGGGTTTTTTTCCGCTCTCTCTCAAAAAGAAATTCTCTCTCCTCCTTTCCTGTGTATCTTCACTCCCTGCTCCTACTGTACATTTTGGAAAATTGTCTCATTATGTTGATCATAAGCAATTGGTTGACCTGCCTGAAACAGGTCTGTCAACTCCCTTTCTAGGGCACAAACAAAACATGTGCAAAGAAGGGTAAAGCTGCGAGCTTCAGGGTAAGAGTTTGGGATTTTGGAAGGCATTTCTTGACAAAAGCGGCTTTTACGAGATGTGGCTCTTGTTCTGGATGCCAAAGGTCCTTTATAGAGAGACACATTTCTTGCAGAGAATAGGCTTAAAAATATCTGGTGTGCTGTTTTAGTGAATGAGGGAAAAACAATGAGCAGCCACCCAAAAAGTTGAAATGTGGGTCTCTTTTCAAACGTATAATATTGTGCTGCGGTAGAGACAGAAGTGTGGTCTAAGCACAGCAGACTTAGCTTTCTTTTCAAAATAAAAATAATAGTTCAGCTATGTGTGATTGTCTTGAGATATGGTGCTGTGATGATTGCGACACTGAACAAAGGAATGCAGAATAAATGATTAAATGTAATATAATTTTTAATATTTCTTGTTTTTGTCTGGTATTTTTAATAGTTGGAATGGAATGTATTCCCTTCAAATATTACAAAAATGCAACATAACAAGCAGGCTTTTTTTTTTTTTTTTTTCCCCAGAACAGTAGCAACTTTTAAATACCGTTTTTCTCCTCTCTCCCTTTATGCTACTGAATCATTTCACTTTTCTGGGCACATGTAAGGAAATAATTATTTTAACTTGAATATCTGCAGATACCTGCAGTTCTCAGGCATATAACCTTTGGTAGATTAATATTTTCCTTCTCCCTGTCCCTGTTCTAACATAATCTGTAGTTTTGTGCTGTATTGGATTTTAAGTGGTGTTATAGATTATACCTTAAAAAATATGTCAACAATTAAACTATTCTTGTTGAATTCGGTCTATTGCAATTGAACATTAAATCCTTGGTTGTTGTCTTTTTTCTTCTTTTTTTTTCCCCTTATATGAATATTCTTGTATATGTGTATATAGAAACTCAGTGCTACTTTTAAATGGGCTTGCTCTGATCTAAATTGAAAGTGGATTCACAATGTTTAGGAAAATGACTGTTTCCTTTTCTTTATTTAGACTTCAGAGCAGTTGGGTTTATTAATTTTATATTTTGGCTTTCACTTCAGAAAAGCTTTGCTTATTCTTTATATTTTTGTTTTGCTTACATCCTTTATGTAATAACTCACTTATAACTTTCTCATTGTGGATACTTTTCTTCCTTGAATACATATTGATACTTCTTATAAGGAATGGCAGTATCGCAATACCCTTATTTTTACTAAATCATTTTCAGAAGAAAATAATTGTGTAGACACAAGGTAAAAAATATGGTATTGATTAGAATAGTATATGAGTTGTAGTGCCATGGGTTTAAAATTAACTGTTTGTTTCTTTGTTTGCTATTTTCTTTCTAATGCTATTTTCTTTCTATTTTGTTTTAAYAAGGATGTATTTGGTCAGTTGACACTTCTTCCTATCTTTCCAGGCACRGGTACATTTGGACGTGTTCATCTGGTGAAGGAAAAAATGGCCAAACGTTACTTTGCACTGAAGGTCATGAGCATTCCCGACGTTATTCGGCTGAAGCAAGAGCAACACGTGCACAATGAGAAGTCGGTCTTAAAGGAGGTCAATCACCCGTTTTTGATCCGATTGTAAGTTTTGTATTTTTTTAATTCATTTGACTCTTACATAAAGTGYGGTAAGACCAAAGTCCTGCAGAAATTAGTTGCAAGTCCTTATTTAGTTAACCAGCATCAAGCATCCAGTTTTTGTTCCACAGTCTAGTTACAATATTTTAGTCAGAAGTCTATTTTAGAAGAATCAGATGTTGGAATTCAAGTAATATAATTTAAATATTTAAGCACTAATTTATTATGAATCTTTTCTGCTGAAACAATAATCTACACCCATCTTCATACACCAGAAGAGGAATTTTCTTAAGAAAGAGAAAATATTAATGAGGAAATTCTAGGATTAGCTCATTAAAATGAGCTCTAGTCATGTTTCTTGGTCTTAGAACAGCAAGAACAAAGGTTTTTCTTCATCCTGTGAAGAGTATTATCTTGAATCTAGGTAACTGCCTAGATAACTATCTAGATTATCTTTATTGCCTATATCCTCTGTGAGGTGATAGCAAACTTGTAATATCAGGCAAACAATACTTGAGCCTTGAGGAGTGGTAGAGGTGTTTAATATTGAAAGAAAGATGAAAGATAMCTCTATGTTCATAGTCTTATTGAAGAGCCAAGGGATTTTTTTTAATAAAGTGTTTTAATTTGATCCATTGTTTGTTTGTTTTCAATGCTTTTGTGGTCTTTCACTCCCTACATCAGCAACATTAGCAGTCTGAAGTGGGATGCTGGTTTAGGGGAAAAAAAAAGAGAGGAAGTGAGAGATGGGAGTGTGTCTGCTCTTTGTTGGAATGTAAGGTTGTTCATGTAGTAAAAATGACTGGTATCTCATCTTGAGATTTCATTAGCACTTACTAGTCATGTATGCTGTAAAGTTTAGGTAGTCAATGTGGGTGTATTCACTGTACGTATCTAGAAGAAGTTAGAATATGTTTTAAATATATGATCTTTTTCAAATGATTTGCTAACTTTACCTGCATAAACTCACTAAAAATGTTGTATTGCATTAGGTGAGAACAGCACTTCTTAATGTTGGTTTTTTCCTGTATTTGAGCTAAAGTGATATAATCTACTGACAAACATTGAGTGATTAAATGAGTAATATTTTTATGTATTTAAAAATTAAATGAGTGATACTTCTACTTTCATGTGTTGGTAGGTCAGCGATTCCAATGATTTCTTTTTTATTAAGRAGAGAAGGGAGCATAGTTTCCTGTTCAGACCTCCACCACGGCTTGTGTACCTGAGTCTGTCTTTATTAAGTGAATAGCTAAATGTCTTGATACTTGTGCAGTTAATAACTTCTGTTTGATTTTTCTCCCTCATCAGTAGAGGGCTATTGACCAAGAGTTTTGTGCTTGCCTGCTGTAATCAGTTTTACACAAAATCAGATCAAATTAATTTCTTCAATATCTAAGGGTAGAGCAGCATCTTCCCGGGGCTCGGGAGGTATCAGCGAGGCAACAGAAGAGGCAAAGGCATAAAATTCTTCCCGGAGGTGGTGCAGCGTGTTTCCGCCGTGCTTGCTGCAGTGTTGCCCCTCGCACGGCTGCGATTCCGTCGGGTTTCAGCGGGCACCTGGCCCAGCTCCGCACGAGGAGCGCGGGGCTCCGTCCGTGGAGGCGGATGCCGAAGAGCAGCCTAGAAAGGCTACACGTAACGTCAGTCTGGTTGGACTGGTTAAAATCTGGGCAGAACTGGAGGAACAGGGTGTTTAGCTTATATCTAGGTTATATCTGTGTACATAAGGCTGCTATAAGTCTGTTCAGCAGAAATGGGAATGGAGAAACTCGAGCCAAGCACATGGGGCTTGGAGTGCAGCGCGTACAGGCAGCACACACAGCATTCGTGGGCCTAATGCTGAGCATACAACCGATGAAACCATCGGCCTCTCTTTGACTAGCAAAGCTGATGTGGCCCCTTCCTCCTCCTCCTTTTTTTCTTTCATGACACTTTTGAACTGGAATTAATTGGCAAAAAGGCTGAAAATATTTCTATAGTGTGTATAGAAGTCTTTGAAGTGTTACTTATGTGGTCTGGTGTTCTGTTTCCAGTTAATGTCGCCACTTTAAGCGGGACAATCTCTTCCTCCTGCGTGTAACACATTATGCGCCAGTGCAGCGTAATACTAAATTTTACAGCGTTTTATAGTGGAGATTTTTAAAGTGATGCTGTGCATAGAAACAAGTTACTTCTAGCTAGTTCATCTTTATTACATTTTGTGAAGACTSTTTTTTTCCTGTCTCTTCCTGTTTTACTTGAGAAATGTCTTTCCTGCATGAGGGAGGTCCTGGSTCAGCCTTTCTGTGGATAGTGGAGTTATTTATCTACTGCTCTTTTAAATTATTTTTATGAAATATTTTATGCTCAAGCAGCATCTGATCAGTGGTTACATAGGCAAACTTTACTGACATTTTTGTGTGAAGTATCATAACTGGGAGAGAAATAGTGTGTATGGTATTGTAGGTTTAAGACRTTTTCAAGATAACAAGAACTAGTAAGAACTTAAAAAAAACTTCTCAAGATTTGTTTTTCAAATAGTGAATAAAGATACAAATAATAGTATTTAATTATGTTTATGACTTTACCATAGAGAAGTAGTTTCCCTGCTGTAGGGACAGAAGCCTGGGCTGTGCTTTCCTTATCATTCGAAACCCATAGAGGAGCTGTATTTGATATCTCCTCTCCGTGACTGTCCCCAGTGCCTATAGGAGGAAGGAAATCTTACTTGAGCTTGGGTTTGGGAGCTCAGTTTGGTCTGCTTATTTTCCTGAACTCCATAGCTTGATTAGGAACCAGATGATGAAGCAAAAATTGCATATATTTGATCTTTCCATTCTTGTGGTAGTCATGGTTAGAAACTGAAGTGGCTTCTGTCCATGTATCAGAGAAGTAGGAAGGGATACAGCGTTCTTTATCTACTGTCATAGTACTCATCAGTAGTTACTCATTTTTAAGCATCTGGAACATACATTATTCTTTATCAAATACAGGTTTTCCTCTCAGCTTTTGAGCTATATTCATGTCTATGGTATGTGACTTGGTTAATGTGGGTAGAAAGAAAAGCATTTTAGTTTTGGAGAATGTGGGAGAGAAGGTTCTTGCCTACCATGGTGAAGCCATTGAAGCCTGCTTGGAATTACTTTGTGTTCCTTAGCAGTTTGGTTTCTTGTTTTCGTTTAATAAACATAGTGCAATAGTATTCCTCAAAGTAGGGGTAACAGTCTGAGGATACGCTTACCAACAAGATAACCCAAGATGCAGAAATCAATATTGCCTTGCTGTCATTTCCTCTTCAACAAAGTCAGTAAAAGAGAGATTGTAGAAGAGCAGTGTGGTTTTATGTTGAACTAGTAACTGGTCGCTGTATGTAGGGAAGATGTGCACGTGTAGTAAGGCATAGATAGGAGTAAGATAACTCTGTAGTGTCCTCCATTTGAACATATTGTCGTAAATAATCTTTATAAATGCAGATCCCGCTCCCTTCCCCACATCGTTTTGACAGTATTTAGGCAAATAAAATGTAAGTGACATGAGAATTGCCTGGTAGCAGCAGGATCCTAAATTACTGAGTGTTTGACAGAGAACAGTCTTGCACAATACAAAGCAGTCTTTTTAACAGGTAAGTTTTCTTCAAGCCTGTRTACCCAGTTTTTAGCTACTCAGGTAAAGTCAGCTGCTTGAACATCTATTACATAATCCTGATAGGGATTTGTGGGGGTTTAAAATTCGTGCAGTGAGAATTATAGCTAAATTATGTACGTATTCGGGGCAAGAGAGATCAATTGAGAGGAACTTGCTGCTGAAATAAGTCAGAGGGATGAATTGTTTATTTAATAAAACAATRTTTTTATTGCAGATTTTGGACCTACCACGATGAACGTTTTCTRTATATGTTAATGGAATACGTCCCAGGAGGAGAACTTTTCAGTTATCTGCGCAACATGGGGCGCTTCAACAACAGCACAGGACTGTTTTACTCTACAGAAATTATTTGTGCAATAGAATACCTGCACTCCAAAGAAATAGTTTACAGAGACTTAAAACCTGAAAACATATTACTAGACAAAGAAGGACATATCAAGCTTACAGATTTTGGATTTGCTAAAAAACTGGTGGATAGGTAAGTTTTTTTTTTTTAAGCTTTAYGAAACATAATTACAATTGGAAGATATGTAGTTTGACTTCATAGCTCATCATCTCACCTATACTCATCATGATTCACACAGGAAATCCTTTAATGCAAGGAAAATGGTGCTTTTACCTGCTGTWTTGAAAACAGCATTACCTTGTAGGTACAGCTAGAAGCAGTATCAGAGGGAAGTTGCAGTAGAAATTTTTTGTGTGTGTATATTTTTTATGCATTTTTCAGCAGTTCTCTTATTAGAAAAGTGAATTAAGTAAAATGCGCAAATAATGAGATGTGTGCATCCATATTGACATCCATGACATCAGTCTTCCATACAAGTTGAAAGGTTCAATTCCTTATGACTGATTTGTTTTATTCTCTTTTTTTGAAAGGGAGATTTTTTGAAAAGTAGGAGTAACATTTTAAAAATGAATTGTGTACTTTCATGAGTACATTGTTTAAACTAGATTCCAAAATCTAGGAAGAACTGTAATGCCAGATTCACCAGAAAGAATTAGACTGTGCAACTTCTATAATACATTGGGCTTTCTATATAATTTTGGGTTTACAGGTTATGTGGAGTTTTTCACCGTTCATTTCTCTGTTCTCTCCATCTGAGCTGTTCTTTCAGGATTATAATATGTGCGTTTAAGAATATGTGAGAACTGTTAATAGAATTGAAAATACCCTAGCCTGACATACCAGGTTGGTTGGTATTGTGCTCTGGGGCGGCCTCCCARGGAAGGCGTTACCTAATCGCTGTACTTGTAGGCAGTATCAGAAACTCATCAGTCCTCATTGGAAAGATGCTCATTATCTTCACTCGTCCATTTCACCTTTTTGAAGCTTCTTTCACTACCATTAAGTATGTGTAGGAAATCTTCTAGGAGCAATCTGAAATGCAAGCAGATTTGAGGGAGCCGCTTCTACTCGATCCTTAATATCTGTATGTTTGATCAAATTTAATTCCTACTGGAAAGGTAGGTAGGTTTGTAATTGTTGGCAACTTTTCAAATTATATATACATATATAATATATAAATAAAATAACTTTTTACAGAAAGAGGCAGAACTATTCTCTTTTCCTACTAATTCTTATGACTTTCTTTCAAATGTAGATACTGCCACTTAGTGGTTATTAATTTGAAGTTCTGTGCTCCTAAGGCACAGCAGGAGTAGCCCTTCAGCATACAAGAGGACAGTTTAAATCAAAGTGTATTATTTCAGTCTGGAAGATAGGTCTGTAAGAAGTAGTTAATTCAGAGATATTTTAGGACATAGAAAAAGTTCTCTACTATATTTTCTGTGTATTTTTCATCCATGGGGACAGTTGAACAGTAGAAGTTGAATACTTCCTATTGAATTGAAACACAGAATGTGGTACACACTTTAAACAGCTACCAGTGTACAAGAATTAATATAAAATGCACAAGAACACAAGGTAGGAGGAACAAGGATTGAATTTATTTTATCAGTCCAAGCATAGGTAGCTACTTAAATGATTCTGATCTTTTTGGTGATTGCATAGGATTTTCCCTGCTAACGGATACCTATCTTGAAACCCCTGGATAATAAGTCATCAACARTTTATTCACCAGCACTCTTCAGTAAGCTGGTTTGTTGAATAGACTTTTTGATCTAAGATTTATGTTTGATCTAAGATACAGGTGTTCCCATTTGTTTTGTGTCTGGCACATCTATATACATGCACATGATATTTAGGTACATGTACTTTTCTATTTCTTTGTGTGTGAGTATGTTCAGACTACTAGAATTGTGAAAATAAAATACAAATTATATGAATTCTTCAAATAACAGTGAGGAACTTGCTAGTGAAGACTGAAATGTTGGTATTCCTAGGCTGAAGACATGACATGTGGAGAAAAAAAAATGCTTGACAGGAAGTCTTTGATAAAACTACACATTCTTGATACGTTTTCCATTCTACAAATTAATCTGTAGTTTCTTGAGATTTTCTGTGCACTTCTCCTCCCTTGCCCTGGCCATGTGTGAAAGGGCYGAGGCAAAATGCCTTCCTTGTCCTCTGCAGTCCAGCTGTTCTGTAGGGAGCAGCTGCCTCCTTGAAGCTGCTGATCCCACTGTGTGAAGCTGCCCCCTACCTTCCTGCTGGAAATAAAATGCTACATCTCAGGACATACTGGATCTRAATATTTTTGTTCTAGAGAAAGAAAAAGGAGAGGAGGTTTTCTTGCCTGCCTATTTTCCTCATTAGTTTAAATAGAAAAGCTTCTGTTTTCTTCTATTTTTCTGTTGCAGTTTTTCTCTTGCTTTACCTGCTGCTGCTTTATTCTCTTTCCACCTCCACATTGTGCAACTGAAGACTTAACTTTTTCAGTTTCTTTCTTCTTTCAGTTTGAATTAAAATAATTAAAAGAAATTGATCTTTTTATCRACTTTATGTTACGTGTTTTCTTTACTGTTACACTTAGGAACTTGAGAATATGCTGTCTTTTCCTTAATTTTGTMGTTTTCCTTTTGACTGAACAAAGAAATCTTGTCATTAACTTATAAAGTAATTGCCAAGTAATTTTCATTATCTTGGCAGCAGCAAATAATCTTTTGAGTCCTGAAAGTTTCAGTCAAATACTATACAGATTTTTGACTCATTGGGTTTGGTGAGCGATGAAAGCATCCCAGGCTCTGCCTTTGCTCTCCTGGGTTCTAGCTTTCATGCAGTGGAGCTTTGGGAGAGAAGGAGGACTCTTGTGGGGCACTGTCCTGGAAGCGCCTGGCCTGTCAGCTGGCACAAAGGTGCCTGTCCTGCCTGCTTTACTTGCCTGGCCCTGCTTTCCAGATATTACAATAAAACAGGAAGATATTTCATTTGCAGGGATGACTAAATCTGTGTACATAAAAATTCATACAGAGAACTGGAATGCAACCTCCTAAATTTTAAACTTTGGTCCTTTTTTAGTTTTCTAGGCAACTGCTAGATGGCAGCAGTGTTTAAAGCAGGKCTTTACGTTGGAGTTCCCTTGTGCATGCTTCAGTGGGAGACCCAAGTTCATATTTTCTAGCAATAAAATTATGCCTCCCATTGTGGAAACTGAATATCTGTTCTTTACACTAATGAACATAATTTCAAAAACCGAGGAGCAGCTGGATGCACAGTGTGTCTGTATCAGTTCAAACAGGTTAGCTGAAACGATTTACCTGCTGCCACATTAAACTCAGGCCTAAAGAAATTTGGTCATGTACGTCATAGATCTGACTAAAGAGCCTGTCTTTTGTGATCTTAAGTGTTTCATAAATCAAGGCTGAGACTTCATCTTTTTCATCAAATGCTTTGTTCCAAGCAAAATATTTTCCTGACATTGTGAAATTATTTAATGTGTTAAAAATACTTTGATAGACTGAGATGCCATAATATGGGTCTTGAATACCCATGTCCGTATTGTATACTTGGGAAGAAGACAACAATTCATTCAGTTTATCTGAAAAGTGGTAGGGGAAACTAACAGAACGGTGATAGAAGGTACTGAAGGGGGTTACAATTCATATTAATTCATTAGTTCAGAACTAAGTTATCAGTGTGATTTGTGCTTTGGAGAAGATTTGTATCACACTCTCAACTCTGACAATCACTGTTTCTTTTGCAATATGTTAGGAATCAGTCTTTTAAACTACATGGAGGTAATTAATTTCATGATTATCTTATTTTTTTTCTATCATATTTTTTTCTATCAAAACCTTTATTAAAATCCAGTTTTTCTTTTTTTTGTTCTGCTTTGTGTTTTTTTTTTTCTCTCTTGAATCTTTGAGTACTTTTTCAAACTTCTGTCTTCTGACTTGAAATCAGTGTCCTGATCATCACAGGAGTTGTTTCATATTTCATATAGGTTTAGTTGCTTATTTATAGATGTAATAAATTTATAAAAATAGATGCATCTTCCTCACTTCTTTTTTTTTTTTTCCTTCCTCCCCCTTCCTTATTTCGTGTTTTCATTTTCACTCCAATCTGGTTTTGTTTCTTCCTTTCTCCCAGGACATGGACACTCTGTGGTACCCCTGAATACCTTGCGCCAGAGGTCATACAAAGCAAAGGCCACGGAAGAGCTGTGGATTGGTGGGCTCTGGGAATTCTGATATTTGAGATGTTGTCAGGGTAAGTAGTAGAAGCATTGACCACCATGTCACAATAATGCTGTATCAGCCTTGGGGTTTTACAATGGTTAGACCTTGCTGCTCTTCAGTACCAGGCCATGGGTGTGCTCTGTGCTTTCTTGCTTTGCATGTGCATGTGGCTCTATGTCTTTAAGGCCTCTCATTCTAGATCTGCAGTAAAACCAGAACAAAAACACCGTGGTGGAGACGTGTTCCTGTCTGTGTCTAATACTCTCAGCTCAGGATAACCTCTGTGACTCCTCTGGTGTTAGAGCAAGCTGCTCAGGGATGGTCACTGTAGAGGCCCCTTCCACAGAGTGTGCGTTTGCATGCACACTGTACACGGGTGAGAAGCAGCACAGTCAGCAGTAAGTCAAGTTTATCCCAGGGCAGTATTGCTGGTTTCTTCATTTCCAAGAGGCTTGTATATGCATTTGCTTTGAATCTTAAGGCAATTTCTGAGCGCRCGCACACCCACACAAAATAAATAAATAAAACTAGTAGTTTTGTACTGATCAAGGCAGAGTTGGCTGACGGATCTAATAAGTCTTCCCTGAGCTGTCCAGAGACCGGGCTTCCTCTTTCCTTCACTACACTGTTAAGAGTGAATGGCCAGGTTAGTCAAGGGAATCCCCCTTGGAGGGCTGAAGGGAGCCCAGGAGCTTTATAGACTCTAAACTTTACCGAGGCACCAGGAGAAGTGCAGACAGAAGCATCCGGTGCTAGTTCTGGCATTAGCTGCTGTCTGCCTGCACCTGAGCAAATTAACCTTCTGATACAGGACTCTGTGGGACCACCGTGTATCAGCTTTCTCTTGGGTCTCAGTGTAAGAGGAAGTGGCTTATCCTTTCCTTTCCTGCCTCACAGAGGTTGATAGAGCAGTAATGTCAGCATGTTAATTTTGGAAAACAAGGAAGATCTGTGCTTGGGAATCAGTAAGASACAAAGACTGCAGTGCCCTGAAGTAGGATTGGTTTGTATCCTCCATAGGAGGAAATCTAGTAAAAAGGGAACAGCAGCAACCTAAGTAGGATCTTCTCTGTCCYGAGGCAAGAAGATTCAAGTGTTGATCTGGAATCTCCCTCAGCTKAATTTACACTTGGGCTATAGACACTCTTCACCAGTAGAGAGAAATTAGACATTTCTTAAAAGGCAAGTGAGATATTTGGCTTGACAGAGCCTTATGATTGACAGAGCAGCTGTCAGCAAGGGATTCGTAATGGTCCTTACTATCCTATAATGGATATATCTGTTATATCTCTRTACGATAAAAGTATCTGTGTATATATGCTCTTCATAATAGTTAAATGCTTTATTTTTTTCAGTTTGAGGAGAGGGAAGTTTCTGTTCAAAGCTGGGCAGTTTTTAGCATTCTTGGGCTTTCTTTTGTTTTGGAGGGGATTTTATTTCTGTGTCTTTTTCTTTAAGCAGGCAGGTTACCACACAGGGAATACATTTCTATTGTTTTACCAACTTCACCTCTTCTGGTGGTAGCACTTGTTTATAATACTTGTCCTCACMAGCAAAACATGTTCTTGTTATTTACTATCAAAAGTTTTTAAGGCAAAAGCAAAAGATTTAAGAAGTAGGAAAAATACTTGAATGTGTACCTAGCTTTGAATGTCTACCTAACTTCATCATGACTAAGTCTTTGTCTGTGAAGAAATGAGTTATGACATTTGGTAGTTATTTCCTTAAGTAATTATCTTTGAACCCCCAAAGCAATCAAAAAGAATAGGAAGCTGTGTTTAAGGAAATGGTCTCTCTGAATACAAACAAACAAACAAAGTAAAGCCACACTTTCCTGTTCTGTCTTATTTATTTCTGTAACCTATTACTATCTGTGGAGGTCCATAAAATTCTAATTTTGCACATACTAAATTTAAGACAAGGCTCCACTTATGTTCAGGATAAGAAAATATGGGAAGAGGAATGAATAGGAAAAATTTAATAAAAAGAAATCTTAGGACAAAACCATTTTAATATTAATTAAAATAGTCCTTCATGAAATTGTTCTTAATTTTTTTTTTAAAAAGCAGTCAGTAGAGTTCAAAGACTGTTCTGTCTTTTAATTGTATTTATAATTCGGTGATCTCTTAAAAATGATGAAACATGAGTCTTGTATCTTAACATGAAAGAACTGCTGCCATTTGAGAGACTGAAAATTCTGTTATCTTCAAACCTCTATAGCAGAGGTGTAGGTTTTGTTAAAGTATAATAAATGCTTGAACTTGATGCTGTATTTGTATGAGGGTTCTTTGATGCTTCTGATGGAAAAATTAAATGGTCGTGTTGTTTTGGAAAGTACTTTGGGCTTTATCACTAAAGAGTGAAAATTTCTGATTTTGTAATACTGATGGTTTGTTTCACATTATTTTTTTTTGCTGTTTTAATAAAATAAATAATTTTCCTGTATTCAATTTTAATTGCATTCTGAATGTTCTGTATATGAAAATGTTTTCTATTTTGCAATAGCAACCTAAGTATGGCTTGGTAGCTAATGTTATTCTTCAAGTAGTATGTGATTAACCATGTTGCCCTACCAAAAAGAATTACATAACTCCTGATTTTCGTGGGCACTTAGTATAGTCTAACACTGCTTATAAAATCTTTTTTTTTTTTGCAGATTCCTTTTCTAACCTCTAAAAATTTGCTGTATTAAAATAGGTTTCCTCCATTTTTTGATGACAATCCATTTGGTATATATCAGAAGATACTTGCTGGCAAAATAGATTTCCCAAGGCATTTGGATTTGTATGTAAAGTAAGTTATTGGCTCCCCAAAACATCTTTTTTATTCTGCATACCTCGTGAGCACTATTTTAAAATAATTTCTATAAAGAGATACCAAATGCTGATTTTCTAGAACATTGTGTAAAATATATTTTAATTTACATTTAGTCTCAATGCTCAAAGAATTTTTTATTGTATTTCCAGGCAAAGATATGGTTATAATACCCAAATCTCTTATTTTTTTTGCATAGTTTTAAAGATTAAATGCTTTTCAGTTTACAAAGCTCATTGATGCCAGGGTGTTGTGGGTGAAGGAAGAGAGGAGCACTACGAGGAGTTAATTCAACATGAATTAACATCAGGAGAGCAGGAAGAGAGTGTGACAGAAAGATGAGCAGCTCAAAGTAGGTTGTTGTCACTAATCACCTGTCTAAAATGGTGAGAACGTGTAAATGTAGGATACCCTTAATATGTGTACCTATGTGAGTATGATGTTCATACTCATCATTCAAAACCAACACTTATTGATGTGGGCTATGTAGAGGATGCCTGAGACTATAAAGTTTTCTCATTGTGGTAGTCAACGTATAGATGTACATCTTGATGTTCTGCCTAGATGCAGCCCTCAATGAAATATAGGCAATATTAATCAACATAGTTGTTACTACAGTTCTTTACTACATTTTCTTCATTCATCATGCAGATGTTATTTCAGTGTGTGTTCGGCAGTTCATGCCCTTTGCACACCTGCTTTAAAGAATCCCATGGGATTTGGATTGGGTTCTTTACCTTTTACAACTTGTTTTGGGATGATCTCATCCACTTGCACAGCTTCAGCTTCTTCCTACAGAGAACTGTTAGCATCTCTTATTTCAACTTTTCCCCTTCCTTTAAAAAAAAAAAGGCAGAAGTGGATTGTCTTTGACATCTCTGCACCATTAACTTAAAGCATTTAGTAAGATGGTCTTGTCCTAATAAGTCAACCTGCTTCTCCCCTTCCCCTTTTCCTTTTATCCCCATTTTTTGTAGCACTTGTGTCTCAGCAGGGTTGGAGAATATATTGATTCCTATTTGTCACATCTGGGCTCTGTCTAAAGTTGTGATGTAACCCAGTATTTAGCTGAACTCTCTCTGCTTTTAAACAGCCAGGCTGTTTTCCGCACATTTACTATTGCACCCTGAGAAAGCTTTTCTGCCCAGATCTGCTACAGAAGCTATTGGCTTTAAAAATTCTTCTTTCTTGCCACCACCTCCCTGTTTTGTTTTTTTTTGAATTTTACCACTTTAGTTTTCCCTTCTATTGTGTGGCATCCATTGTCATGTGTTGTAAGATCTCCTACAACTTGTTTCTCCTGGCCTAAGCCAGCCTTTTCTTACATTGCTATCTACTGTATCCCTTTTGCTAACTTTCTTACTGTTTAATTAGATGTTTTCTGCAATCTTTTATTCTGTACATACCGAGTCCTCAATGCATTTGACCATTAGGTCAAGTATCTTCTAAAGAATCACATTTAGCATGAAGATGATAATAAATTAACAGCCTAGTAGCTGTGAAATAGGAGGCTGTTGACACAGTTTTGCACTGCATCACTTCTGGTAAAACAAAGTATTAATTGATGTTCTACCTGTTTTTG